GTTGTTTCTATATCACATTGTATCACTTAGGTCAAAATAATTTTGACGAAAGAAACTCGAGTTTTCGGGATGTAACTAAAGCGTTATAAAATTTGGATACGCTTTTGTCACCCGTATAAAACCTGCCAGAAATACGACAGGTAAGAATTTCACTTTATTGAGGTGATTCTGATGACTCAACTGATTCTTATAGTAATTGTCAGTAGCGCCACCTGTCTCAGTTCATTATTGAAGTCGCAGTCTGTGGCATTTCGAAAAGAAACCGATTAGACTGTGTGAAGTAAAGAGTCGGAGCCAAGGAGTAGACGAATTTTCATGAATCCTTCCAAGACCCTGTTGGTGTTTCTTTTCCTTGCAATCTTGCATTTGACAAGTGGAGAAGGTCAGTGTCTAGCTTTGTTTCTATGAATGAAAAAAATATATTCATTCGTCATTCAAATTCTAGGTGTTGGTGGTCCCTTTTAAATCAGTGGTAAAGGTATCTGAAGCATCAACGTTTTAGGCTAGGAACCTTTTCCAAGAAGTTGATTTTTTTTTTGAGAAGTCATAGTTTGAGCTGAGCTTTTAAGTTTGCTTAGCTTTATCTTTTGAGTTCGAGTCCTTATTTCTCTTCAATTTCCAACATTTTTCAATCTGTACACGTTCATCTATAGTGTTTATGTACACAGAAAAAAGAGTAAAAGGGGAAAAAAAAAGCAAAGTCACTGAGACGGTCGCTAAGTAAGAAAACAAAAAAAAAAAGTTTCTCATGCTACATATTTTAGAAAATAAAATGCAGTTTAAGTACACGTGTCTTAATCCAAAGAAATGATGTAAAAATTTATTGAAAGTGAATCTGCACTGCGCGAAATTTTTGACCACGGAATAAACAACTCCAAGACGTGTAGAAGTAAATTCACTTCAATTCCTCAACGGCGTAAATGACGTAATTTGAAACTAATATAAAAAACAATCACGAAAGTCACTCAATATACGATAGAAAGAAATAGCAAACAACAGGACGGAAAGAGGACTATAAAAAAATTGTTACGGCCACAGAAAAGACCAAGATTGATACTGCTATTGCGAAACTGCTGTGTCCAAAAAAAAATTTGCAAAGGACGACCGAAAAAAGCGGTACGTTACTGAACTATGCCTAGCGTGAAAACGAGAAAACATGCATATTACTTGCTATATGATAAATTATGCGAAGTAGCAATAAGGCGTCGATAGGCAATAAAATGACGAAAAAGGCGCTAACGAAATAATAAGTGTAAACGTTCTCTAGTTACAGGACGAAAAGACTAAAATAATAAACTTTAAACACGCATAGAATCGAAGACAAAAAAAAATGTCGCACTTAGAACTTATAGAAAGGATGTAAAATTTATTGTTGCTAGAGTGCTTGCGGGCAACTACATTGAGATGATTGCTTAATGTTTTAAAAGACTTCTCGCGGGTTTATTTCTTTGTTTTATCGGTCAACCATCCAGTCCATAAGATATCACCCATACCAAGTGAAATCAGACCCCATTGGCTAACTGTTTGGCCGATGGCTGGTGACTGGTGGTTGGTGGCTGGTACCTTGACAGAAGGTATTTCCATTGTACTTCGATACTTCAATGTTTGGTTGAGTGGCTGGTTTATTGAGTCGGTCAGGTTGATCTACTGAGTGAATGATCCTTGGCTTATTATAAGAGAATTTTGTTCCACAAGACTTTTCATTTATTCCAAGTGGTTTGAAATTTCAAAGAGCGACCCAACCGCTAGAAAATTATCTTACTAGTGCTAAAAAGACAACTATGGATGCCTTCAGTTTGTAAACAGAACTAGTAATATGTCCTCACAAGCAAAGCCATAGCTCTTTCTTGTCTGGCTATCCTGAGAAATCATCATTTATGTCCGCCCTTCAGCAGTTCGAGTTTTCAGCACATTTGGTGATAAGTTTGGAAACTTTTGGATTCAACTCTTTGGAATCTAGAGCATGAAATATTTCAGTATTTTCTAATAGAGGAGATTAAAATTAAATGTTTTATAAGAAAAGGACTGAACGGTGTTTCTTACATTTATTGTGTACAAGAGACCACGAAGTTTTCAAGTCATGGGGTGTTTCGGTAGTCGAGCTAGAGAGCTGTATGAACTGTGTAGCATCTAAATTAAGATTCGTGGATTAGAGTGTTAAAAATAGTCCAGTGTCGGTTTAGAGATATTTTATTACAGTTTCAAGTGCATCGTTTCTTAAAAACAGTTGTGTTTATATTTTTTAGATGAAGGATGTGCGAAATTGACGTATGGGGATCAATCTTTTGACGGGCCAGTGGTCTACTCTCCAATGAATTGGTTTGAGACGCCGGCAGTTGTTAAACTTGAATCAGGTAATGAATTTATCAAATATGTACTTAGTTGTTGTCATATATACATACCTTCCCTCCGTAAAGATTTGATTGTCATTAATTGGTGTTGGTATCGGTAAAAGCCAAACGGCTCAAAAGTATTTTGAGCCGTTTGGCAAATGCTTTTCACATTTTGCGTTTTAAATTTGAGAGTTTCGAAACATATTTGTTGGATATTCGCTTTGATAGCTTTCGATGTGCAGATAAGTTGTTGACATTAGTTAAAAAATGTTCATCTCGTAGATGAAAAACAAAATTGGTAAAAAAAGGTTAATTTCTGTTTTCTCTCCAGTCTTGAGGCTTGTCGGGGAAAAAAATCGAGTTTCTGTTTCTTGGATTTTCGGGGATCATATTATTTCAGTAGGGTCAGTTGTCGTCAATGAGTATGGGGGGGGGAGGGGGAGGGGGGACAAAAAACTTGACTTCCAATTAATTGGTAATGAGGTGGGATCGTAAGAATGTTACAGAGCTTTGAGGGGGAATCAGTTAAAAATTTTATCTTGATACAACTAAAAATCTTCCCACCGCAGACAATAAATAATGATTCAGGTTCCTCATGTCTACTAGACCAATTAGAATTAAAATTTAGCAAAAACAAGTAAAAATCAACACTTATATTCTCTTAGCAAAAACCAATGCAACCTGATCTACTTACAAAATTAACTCGATGCGCTGCCCTAACTACTTATTTTGAACTCTCTCATTAGCGTGTTCGGGCGAGGAAGCACTTGGGCTAGAGAGTGGTCTCATTACTGATCAGCAGATTACCGCTTCATCCTCATGGGATGCGGCACACGGACAACAGAACGCCCGACTAAACCACCAAGCCGCCCGAGGTAAATCAAGTGCCTGGTCAGCGCAAAGCAATGATCTCAATCAGTGGCTTCAAATCGATTTCGGACGAAATGTAAAAATTACGAAGCTTGCGACTCAGGGACGTAATGACTACGGCGACCAAAGGGTGAAAAGTTATACTCTCGATTACAGCGCGGAAGGCAGTAACGTTTTTCAGGCCTATCAAGAGAATGAATCAGATAAGGTGCAGTGGTTTCCTTTATGTTGCAGCTTATGTAGCGAGGGCTCTAAGGAGCTTTGGAATTTTTATGTAATTTTTTATTTAGTTTTAATAATGAGGGTGACATTTCATAAGACATATCGCCATTTCGTGTCTGCTTATCTCTATTTTAAATTTGTGTCTGTATGTGTAACACATCCGGCTTCCCATTGATTCTCAACCATGTGTAAATCTATAATAAGGTTCTGATATAGCGCGTGCTGTCATTGGTTGAAAGAGCGTGCTCTATGAGAGTATAGAGCATAGAGCTGAGCGAAAGCTGTCACGCCATCTGTCAAATTGTACTATGTTCGACCTTTTCCGGGACTTCTTTTTAGCTTTTTTTCCGATAATTGAAAGTGAAATTTCGGAACAAGCGAGCCGGCAAGTAGCAACAGAAGAACCAAACAAAGGTTTGTAAACATACCAGGAGTCGTAGTTTACGTTATTAAAACGTGAGCAGATACGAAAATCCTCCAAGGAAAAACAAAATAGACATTACGAGTTTTAAAGATGTTCACGCTCAGTTAGATTGCAAGCTTACGCACGGTAATAAAAATCAAACACAGCTAACACTCGTAGAGTATGTAAAGTTAAGTGTTCAAAAATAAAACAGAACAAAACAGAAATGATGAAAAATATAACCAAACTGGCATAACTGTTAAAAATTAATACTAATCATGACGGTGTCTGAGCGAATATGATCATGCTGAATTCCATCGCGGCTCGCTCATCATGGCAATCTCCGGTCATCACAGTAAAGCAAGCCACAGAAACTACATCGGCCACTCTTCGAGTGAAAAAAAAAAGAGCGTGCTCTGATATCCTTTCCGATGCGTTGAGCGGAAAGTCACGTCAATCACTGCGGCCGAGTTTTGTGGTGCTGTCATCCCGAGCGATCTTCATGTTCCAGTGAATTCGGCTGTCGTTCACTAAAAAAAAACTCGCCTTGAACAGTTTGTTTTCTATCTTGTCGTGTGAAAAAATTCGCGTGTTTTTACGAGCCATAATTTGGCTGAAGTTCATTGAACATTTCACTTCAAGATTCTGTATTAGAGACTTAAAAACTTCAAGCGAAAGTGTTAAATTCGACCTGCCGAACTATTTAGTTTGTAAACTATCGCAGATTGTGAACATTGATGGTTTTTTAACTTTGATGATTTGACACTTTTGACAGCTTTTATCTTGTACAGCCAATCCGATTATTTGAACCATTTTAACAGGGATTCTGATTGGCTTATTGTAGCGTGCTTTATGAGAGTATAGAGCATGCTGACGACACTGTTGTTCGCTTTGAAAATAAAGTTTGTTTGGAAAATTGAAAGTAATGCTTGGGGAATTTAACGGATTCTTTATTATAAAACAAACAGAGAAGCCCCTATACTTCTCTCGTGCTCTAGCCGCTTCCTAAGTGCTTTATAACAGAACAGAGTACAGTCAAGGCTTCTATATTTGTTAAATAGCTGATGTTTTTCATTCGAATTGTTTAGCAATTCCAATTAGCGGTCTTTCCCCGCGCTTCTAGTCGTTCATCGCAAGGTTAGCCAGTCTCTCTCCTCCCTAAAAACAGGTGTGAATGGTTTAGAGAGCCGAAATTTGAGGTTCTATGGCACTGGAATCGCCGTAAAACATCACCAACGGTGCATGCATCGATCTTTGTTGAAATTCGCTAAGGCTTAATTTATTTTTTTTAGCCAGCGATTGTCTTTGCAGAAGTAATCTGGGTTCCTTGTGGAATCACATGAATTGTTCATTTTATTTTCCAGGTTTTTAATGGAAATGCAGATCAGAACACCGTGGTTACCCATGTCTTGTTGCAACCAATCACAGCTCGATATGTCCAAATAAAACCAAAATCATGGAATGAACATATTTCCATGAGGGCCGAGTTTTACGGCTGTGTTCTCTCAGGTAAGAGACCGGTCATTTAAGGGGGAGGGGGTAGGGGAGGGAAGCAGGTGGTTGTGTCATTGTGTCATAATCAAATTTACCTGATTCCCCCTCTCCCCGAGGCTCTACAATATCGTTATGATCATCTCTCGTTGGCAGTCTATTTTCTGTATTCCCCCATTCATTATGTTGGCGACGAATAATCCCCCCTTCCTATCCCTTAAAACCACGTAATCCCCAAATTACTCCGCACCCCTCCTCCCCAAGGTGATTATGGATCCTTAATAGAGATAAGATAAAACGAGGAATTACTCCATGGTACATGGTTATCATCAACCATCTTAGACAGTACCTTGATCAATTTACGCTTTTTTTTTAATACCTCGAAACAAATTACAGACCGTTATCAAGTACTTGGTCGAAATGTTCACATGGATTACGTTCAAGAGCATCTTCGTACAAAGAGAGAGGTAACCTTTGGAGAGACCCAGGAGCGAGCCAATGGAATTGAGCTTGAAATTCTAACTGATACTGTATATGTTAAGGTAGGTATTTTCACAGTTAACTTTGGAAAAGGGAAATTTTTTTTTCAGTGATACCCATCCGTTTGTTCCCAAGAACCTTTCGTACTCATTCGATTCGAAATAAATTCGGACGATTCGTTTCCAGTTTGTTTCAATTCGTATCCCTCCAACATTCAGTGGCGATCAAAACCTAGGAGATCTCAGGAAAAGATGTTGATTGTTGCGAACGTCACGTTAGTAAAGAGACAAGCGGGTAAAACACAAACAAAGTTATTTTTTGCATACTTGTAATCTTCTTAACGATAACCACTAAATTACTATTACTGCCCAGCGCGATGTAAGGGTGTCATATAAAAACTGGACACCCCACAAATAAAACTTCTTCAACGCAGATTATATTGCTACTGATTGCAATATTTGACATCAGAAACCTGCTATACTTTCAGGTAAAGAGGATTCAGAAACATACTTAACATAGAAAACGAACATAAATTAATATGGTTACGAAACGACAAAAGTGACTGGGTGCGATTGGTCTTAGCAGGATACAAAATGTCCGTGGGTAGGAAAAAAGTGGTAACCGTTTCAATCAGTAATATAGAACCCCTATGTTTCCGAGACCTCTACGAATAACAGTTGGATGAAGAACATATTGTAGCAA